ACAGAAGGTCCCAATGCTGTGCTGCAAAGGGGCTGAGCGCAACTAAATTCATACAAGAAGATATAAACAGAGGGGAAACGTGCTGGGCAAACACTGACAAAAAACGAGTCAAGGATATACTCAACCATGACTGAAACTGACAGCAAACAGTATCGTATCCACTAAAAGCGGCCGATTGGGACCTACTGGACTGGCCGACCTACGTTAAGTCTAAAACAGGCAGAAAAAGCTCCCTGAAAACGGTAAGAAAAAATAAACAAACAAGGAAGGGCCAACGCCTAGCTATAAGGTGAATCCCAGTAGAAATGAAGATATGTTCAACAGCTGACAAACAAACCGGTTTTCCACGGGCAAGATCTTCGTTGTGCAAGTACATGGTTGCTGGGCCGGGACGACTTTCATCACGCTTGGTGAACTGCTCTTCTTCTCCTTCTTCCTCAGCTTCGCTACCATCACTGAAATTTCCGAACTCATCTGAGCACATGTCAAACTGGGGGACTGGCATGGTTTCAGTGCCTGATTCCGAACTGGAGTTAAAGGAGCGTACGTTGCAATCACCAGAGGACGTCGAAACGGGCTGAAGGCTAGAAATGCCAGACTCCAGGTCCAATGACACATTCCCAAGTGACATGGAATCATTCAGAAAGTCATCTGACGCAGCCAGATCCAGGAGGCTTATAAAGTCTGAAGGGACGTCAATGTCGTCATCTGGCTGACTGAAGTCAAGAACCGGAGTCCGGAACGCAGATGAAAGTGTGTCCCTGGGTGTACTTTGGGCGTCCGGTAGATTATTATCCGAAGCAACATTGTCCAAGACAAAGGAGAATAAGTCGTTTGTATCAAGTGAGTCTGAAGAGAAGTAAACAAACTTTTATCTGCACATGAAGTAAACAACCAAATGCCAGCCAAGCTAAACAACAGCTTACAACGTTGTGTGAGGTATGAAATTTCACGGGAATGGTGTGCATATATCAACCTTAATTACAGGGCTCATATGGGCATTTTCGCTTTGCCCATACAGGCGCCTACACGACAACTAATCAGCAATGATCGCGAGTTTTGTTTCAGTGGATAGAAAATAAACTAGGCACTAGGATTCCGTTATGCCGTCGGATAAGGGCAGGTTCAGTTATACAAGAAGGACGTGACATGATTAATTCGGAGAACTTGAAATTACTCACCAGAGCTGATTTGCATTCGTGATGTCATTTCAAGGAGCTTGACTGGCACAAATAGGTAAGACTAAAATGCTAATTTCTGTCGATTAACACACTTTGTACCTTTACAACAGAACACGTGTCTAGGTTTTTATTTAGTAACTATGGACTTCATCGAAATCGATGGTCGAACACACACATTTAGTACCTATACTGTCAGCTATACTGTCGTCAGCCTGGTGAAAACTTTCGAATCCCGATGGAAACCGGCCCAAATATTTACATCAAATGTTTGTTAATACCTGTAGATCCTTGAATATGCTGATCTACTCCAAGTTCAAAAATTAACCCCTAAGGAAATTTAAAAGGTGAAACCTTTACATATCCCTGATCTGGGGCTACATGACTTGGATCCTTAGTGCAGTGGTAAGGGTGTTATTTGTCGGGCAGCTGGGACAGAAAAATCGGGACAACAAATAAGCCATAAAGGAGTAGGCTCATGTCTTTGCCGGAAAACGGCTGAAACAGAGATCTGTGCACAGGTCTTGGTTTTATAATTCAGTTCCCATGAAAAATTCTTACCAAGATCTTTAACGGTAACATTTTCCAAAGACGGTGTTGGGGCTGGGCTAGAGGGCAATTCAGGCACAGACTCCACAACCTCCTGATGATGAAAGTCAAGGAATTCCAGGTCATCGGGTATTAGAAAAATTGGCGGAGATTTTTGCTCAATGTCATCTATCAAGAACTTGTCCTTAAGAACCGAGATTCCTTCTGAAAACTGCCAAAATGGACTATCGGACACAACTGAAAACTTACTCGCTCACGTAAACGAGGAACCAGAAAGGCCGCAGATTGGGCCTCGTATTCCATGAATTTGACAGGCAATTTCCTTAATGGTCTGACAGCTACAAGTGCGTTGAAATATGGGATTAAGTTGGAAAAGGAAGGGGACAGAACAATTTTCTGGTGAACGTTTTTTCCGCGGGGAAACCAAAATTAGCACTCGATATTTATTAAGAGAAACTGCATTTTAGTAAACAAGAGTCACAAATGCAAGCCCAGTTAAAGAAAGGAAAGTTATTATGTTAAAATGGGCTGACATAAAACCAGATGCGAGAAGGATTGCGAAAACACCAGAAAAATGGAACAAACACCATTGCAAAATAAAATTAAAAACGGACTTAAGACCCAAAAAAGATTGGTGCATTCGGTTTCAGTATGTAACCTTTCTAAACGATAAATGCGGATGTTTTGGGCATGGGAATGCCTCCATTCCCACGATGACTCATCTCGCAGAAAGGCTCTTGAGCGCATGGCATGCCGCTGCCATGAGAGCGCGCGCCATGATTATCGATTTAACATCCCAACTGATTGGTACATTGTCGCCGACGCTTGCTCATCAAGCGGACTAAAAAATACACGCAGCCTTTTGGTGAGTAAAGTGCCTTGACTCGCTTTGTGTGAATAAACTTCTCCTCGTGGTTAATTGCCGCCCCTTCCTCTCTCGGGCTGGCTTCGAGAAAAACGGTCGGGCTAGTTCACAGTTCTTGCTATTTAAGTCTACCAGGCGCAGGCCATAACAATTTGACGATGTAGTTCCTCATCCACGATGGAGGACGTGTACACTGACCTGAAGTTAATGTTGCAGCAACAGCTGATGGAAATCCTCACCGTCAAACTCTCCGACTCATCATGGGCCAATTGTGTTCTGCTGGTGGTTCAAAACCCATCGATCACATCGCCAGCAACATCACTGAATTCTTGTATGATCCGCAGGCCCACATTACTTTTCATTCCTTGTACAAACAACACGAGGACTTGTTATCTGTCGATCCGGCTGCCCAGAAAGACGCATAGAAGCTACAACTCCTACTCCATAAAGTGGGTCCTGTCGAGCACGAACGATAGGTGGCTTTCATACTACCCAAGAATCTACGAGATATCTCTCAAGGACACGCTGAAGACGTTGCAGATTTTTGGTGAGCAGTCATCCCTGTTCAAAACTCAATTCCACTGCCCCCAGCCGTAAAAACGGGAATCCGATGATTTCATCTCGTATGCCG